AGACGTAGCTGGTGGAATTCTTCTTATATTATCTACAGCACCTGGTTTCTATGCTTCAACGGATACGAGTCTTTCGTCAGAACCTATTTCAATACCTGTCATTAGTACAGAGCAGAAATGTTCTGCAGGAACAATGAAGAATGATATGGGAATTCATCCGTGCTCTCTTTGTTCTTCAGGCTCGAGAAGTTCAGCTGGTAGCACGAACTGTACAGCATGTGCTTCATCCGCATTCTGTCCGCTTGGCGCTGTGGCCGAAGTGTCCCAAAGCGAATTGGAGACGATAACACAAGCATATGCCTATCGAAAATCTCCTGACACGACTGTATTTGACGATATTCTCTTGTCAAATGTGTTTCAAATTAGCTCGACTAGACACTGTATTATTGTATCACCTTTATTTTGGACTATCATTGCTCTGACCCCAATACTGATTCTTAGTTGCATTGTACTTATCCTGCAGATCTGCGTTCAAAAGCCGTGTACCTCTGTATGCGCCAATATTGTCGTAACTATTTTTCAGGGAACCGACTTCATGGTAAGTCATTATGATTTTTTGAAATTTAATCAATGGAGAGAGTCTCCTAACACTCGAGTATTTTCCAAGGCAAAGCGTTTCCTTAATGAAAGAACTAACCTAAAAGTACTTCTGTGCTGAGTGGCTTTTAGCAGGATTTTGACAGAGTATCTTGCTACCAATATAACATGTGGATTTTGTTGAGTATCCTACTTGTAATTTGTTTCAGTAAAGGGTTACTTGAGAGTGCTTTCTTTGGTGCCAGCTCCAATGCTTCTGAATTATATTGTTCTATAGAAAAAGAAATATTGCAGTAGACTTTTTGTGTTAATTCTCAGAATTACGCTCAAAGCATACACTCAAATGTTTAAATATCATCCTAGAGTATTTAAATGCTGAAAACAGCCTGTGACATACTAGTAGTAGGGTATCTTGGGCTCAGCACTTTCACTGGGTTGTTTAAGCATACTTTATTTTGCTTAAAGCACTAATTGCTTGAAGAGGAAGTTAAAGTATTTGTATTGTAAAATTGATTTCTTCAAGGGTATACTTTAGATTTACTAAAAATATTACTATGAAGTATAAAAGAAAATTGATGAAGATTTACATGGAAGTATATCATGCAGTAGCTGTAGTCATATTTGAGTATAGTAGACTAGTTTTTGCTAATTTTTGGTAAAGAGAAAAGACAGAATATGGTAATTGTCATATCTCGAAATACACCTTTAATTTGTCGAACTCAAATAAACCACTATATATGTTTTGATTCAATAAATGAGCTTCGCAACATACAACAAAACTTTTAAGACATGTAGTCTTGAACAAATGTGCCTAAAAAATGTTTTTAATGTTAGATTTGATAGAAGTTGATGTTCATTCGTCTAAATGATTACAATCTATAAAAGCAAGGTGGTCTCTTTAACGATGAACTCAAAAAGTTTGTGAAACTTCTCATGTGTTTAAAGTATCGAGTCTACTTGCTAAAATCAATTTTTATTTTCTATATCATAGCTAGGCTCATACACCGCAGCAAACTTTTTGTAGCTTTCAATTATCTGTAATATTACGTTAATATTTGATCGTGTACCTTGTAAACATATTGTTGTCTATTCAGTCAATCCGTTCAGCTACATTTGAAGTTTTTCATTATTTAATGATGCAGTTAACAAAATGGTCAAACTAGTGTTGATTTTATTAGATCTTAAGAATTATGGTTCCACGTGTTTTTCCTTAAACATTTAGATAATGCAAGACTTCATTATATTTTTAAGCAAAAGATAAAGAAGAGCAGATATTTCTGTGCTACACATAGAAAGCTAAAGTGATCTAGCATCAATGACACCTGGATAGCGAAATCGTTTGCAAAATATGATTAGTGACGACAACTAAAGTTCATAACTCGGAAAAAGATCCCCCGAACTCGCTCTGTGGATCAGAGACCGAAAACGAACCGATACTGAACTGGTGAAACTCGGTTCGATTGGACCTATGAAAGATACTTTGCTAACAAGATCCGTGAACTGGTGATTCTTTAGTCAATTCAATGTTGCTTTTTATCTGACCTATTTTACTTATACTAGTTCACGATATTTCCTTGGTCTAGTAAAATCTTCTTTCGGTCACAGAGAAAAATAGCGAGTGAAGAAAGTAAATAGCAGTTAGTTTGTATGCGTAGACTGTGTTTTTGAAGCATGTTCAAGCAAGACAGTTTTATCGAATGAATAAATAGAATCAATATTCTATCTTTTCTTGAAGATAATTGAAGTCTAGTTAGTTCCAGAGAAATTTTTTAACTGAGTTTTATCAAATGAGAACGATCAGCGGATTACTCCGTTAAACTCTCAAAAAGTGCACAGTAAAGATTTATTTCAGAAATATTTCTCTTTGAAGAACTATTGCATTCTATTCTTGCGAATTTAACGAAGTGTTCCGTAATGCTAGAGATTGAAAGAAAGAAAAAACATCCATATTCAACATGACTCATGTTTGATTTAGATCAGATGGAGCAAATGAATATCTCTTTTTTTCCAAGTGATGTATATGTCGGCCAAAGGCACATATCCTTTCGTGTTGCTTTCAGTCTCTTTCTAAAAAAATATCTTTACACAGTTGCACATTTTGTTTTGTGTATTGGTTAACAACTCTTGAGTTCCATAGAAGTTAACGAAGCAAGAATATATAAACTATTTAGCATTCCATCAATTGTTTTTCAAGTACCGACAAGCACACTTCATATAGAAGCGGAATAATTCGATGTACTTCGACTAAATTCTATCATAGTTACAGTTCGGACCTCTGTGGGGTGTGGGTGATTGATTACATTACCTAATGATCTAGCATTTATGAAATACCTAATGCATTGCCGATTGTTCCTCATCGACATTAGAATGAAGACGAATGAAGACGAAAGCAGAAAATCAGAATGTAAATGAAATCCTTATGTTGTCGATGTAATTCAGAGGTATAGGCTTAAAGTATATAAATATGTTTGTGGTGTAATAAACAGAAAACAGTAGTCATTCTTGATCTAGAATATCTAAGTGCAGCAATAATATATGAAGAAACCTATATTTGTAACACTCGAATGACTTAATACTAGCAATAATGATAATGTTACAATGTGAATGAGTTATTTTTAAGAAAATGATGTAAATTAAGAGAATTCTTTCACGCATGTAAACGAATGAAATTGACAAAAAAAGTAACAGAATAGTGAAAAAACCAATAAATTTGGCTAAAACCAGCTGTGAATCATGATTCGTTTTACTCGTTTGCTTCGAAATCAATAGATTTGTAGACAACGTATTGACTCTCCTCTGTGAATTGAAGATTTCTTCACTATACAGCCTTAACACAAGTGAAACAACTAGATAGAGATCGAATTCAATCATTCGACTACTCAATTTGTCTTGAGTCTGTGAGAGATGGCACTATCATCATAATAGTGAATGGAGTAGCTTTTCAATGTGGACCTTTGACACCATTGACATCATTAAATTAAGTTATATCCATTTCCAAAACATAATATTTGTGTTTCTATGTCCAACAAAATTTATTCACATTGATATAAATATTGTTGGCTTGAAACAACTTCTCATAGATTGGTAATCAGCATACTTGCGTTTGCCTCCTTAGGTAAATCATTTTTGCTTTTATTTTATAAAAGAAAAAGTTTCAGTATTTTTATCGTACTCAACGAGAATATTTCGTTCAGAGGAATTTCAAATGTGGATTTAGCTGTCTTCTTCATCGACGCTCACACTCACACCCCTGTAAGTATCTGTAAATCGAAAATCGACTTTTTTTCTTGCTTAATGAAGTAGGCTAGTCGAATCGCACGAAACAATGATAAGTTTTTTTGTATTGGGTGCTCAATAAGCTAATATTTCTTTAAAGCTGCGAGATTGACTTTTCTTGTGATATTTTCATATAGACTGAAGGTGAATTCTGGATTGGCGGTTTGGTCACAATTGTTCTGATTGTACTCGTCTCCCAAGCATACGCCTTCAGTACAAAATTCATCGCACAGTATCCAGCAGAAAGTGTCAGCGATAGTCACTTTGCTTGTGACATTACAATACGAAATGCTCTCTTCGAAACAACGCTACAATCAGTTGCAGTTCCACAATCTGATGAAGAACAAATAATCTTCAATCTACTTAATGAACAACAGTGGATATTACACGTGAATCTACTCAACACAGAAATTGCTTGCTCATCAATCTCTGCCATCCAGATTATTGGTAGTTCATCTGTTCCACTCAAGTTATATCCCTGTTCCAACAAAAACTCTATTGTGAAGACCTCTATAGTTTTATCATCCGATGCAGACACAATACAATGGATAATTGATGATTTTAAACCAATTGGAGGTTTGGGACTGGGCTTGGCCGGTTCTGGAAAAGAAAGTGGCAGTTCAATGCTCAAAGATCTTGAATTTAGTCAAGCATTTTACAATTCCAATCGAACACTGGCTCAAGCAGCTGCTGTTTCTCTTCAGCTCACCATGGTAAGCGAAAACATAAATTTTATTGAGAAGTTTATAGATGTTGTTAAAATCAATTTTCCAAGAAGATTTCGTAATTAATTTTCATGTTTATTTAGCTGTCTAATTATGATTTCAATTGAGAGGATAATTTCTACATGATAAGCTAAAAGGCACCGTACGGAACACAACAAAAGTTCGGGTGAAAGAGATATCCCTAGGATCCACGAGTTCGTAATTCAAAGAAATTCGAGAAAATCAACCAACTCAACACACGTACATAAGATATTAGATTACCCGCCTTCACTACGATAGAATTCTGGAAAATTCCAGAAAATAAAGCAATTCAAGAGACTGAAAGCAATATCCAGCGCATCATACAACTTTCAATTATATCCCATGAAAGTATCGTGGAATTCAAGGAATTCAACGAAATTCAAGAAACTCAATACATCCGTATAATTTTCAGTTATATCCCTGGAAGGTAGCATGGAATTCAAGGAATTCACGAAAATCAACGGATCATATAACTATGAATTGCATCCCTTAAAAGTCTCAAGAAATTCAAGGAAACAGGAAATTTTCGTGTGGGTGTGGGTGTGGGTGAGTGAGTATGGGATGTGGGCGTGGATGTGAGTGTGAGTGTGGGTGCCGGTGTGGGTGGGCTGAGGGTGGAGTGTGGATGTGGGAGAAGAGATAACTTTAACACTCACATTCACACCGCGCATCCACACCCGCACCCGCCCTTACTATCTGGCATGGTTCAATTCCTTGAATTTCCTTCAGTTTCCTTCAATTTCTACAATTTCTAAAATTGCTTGATTTCCTTGAATTCCATGGCACTTCCAGGGGATATAATTCAAAGATATATGGATATGTTGAATTCCTTGAATTGCTGAGATTTTCTTGAATTGCCAATTTTTGGATCGTAGGTACTGCTGGTACAGAAAAGATCTTCACTAACGCTCATA